GCCCCAGGCAGGGGCGCTGGCCGCCAAGGCCCTGGCCAGGCCAGAACAGCTGCTGCTCATCCTCGATGGCTTCGAGGTGCTGGCCTTGCCCCTGGCTCACAGGCGCAAGGATCTGAGAGCGGACTGGAGTCGGAAGCTGCCGGTCCCCGTCCTCCTGGCCAGCCTGCTGAGCGGGAAGATGCTGCCCCAGGCCTCGCTGCTGCTCCTGCTGAGATTCTCCTCCTGGAGGGTCCTCAAGCCCCTGCTGAGCTGCCCCTCGGTCCTGACCCTCTCGGGGTTCACCGCCCCGGAAAGGACCCAGTATCTCCGGAGGTACTTTGGGGACGGGAGGGCGGCCGACAAGGCCGTGGATTTCCTCCGGGGCAGCGCCATCCCCTCCTCCATGTGCCAGGAGCCCGCCGTGTGCTGGCTGGTCTGCTTGTGCCTCAAGGAGCCGGTGGAGAGGGGCGCCGACCTCTTCCTCGCCTTCCCCAACGCGGCCGCCCTGTTCGCCCGGCACCTGTCCAACGCCTTGGTGGCCGCGGTGGGAGGCCTTCCGGGGACCCCTCTCCAAGAATGCCTGCAGGGGGTGTGCTCCCTGGCGGCCGAGGGCATGTGGGCCGCGCGCTGGGTATTTGGGGAGAAGGAGCTGGAGCGCGCCCAGCTGGGCCCGGAGGCCGTGGATGCTCTGCTGCGCGCCCACGTCCTCCAGAGCGTGGTGAGGGGCGAGGCCCGCTACACCTTTGCCCTCCTGAGCTTCCAGGAGTTTTTCGCCGCCTTGTGGTACGTGCTCCGCTTCCCAGGGCGGTTCCCCGAGTTCCAGAAGCTGGACCAGGCCCACGTGAGGCGCCTGCTGGCCCAGCCCAGCCGGAGGAGGAATGACCTGGCCCACATGGCGCTCTTCCTTTTCGGCCTCTTCAACGAGACGTGCGCCCGGGCGGTGGGGAGGTCTTTCCGGTGTGAGGTGTCCCTGGGGAACAAGGAGGTGTTGTCCCGGACAGCCCTGTGGCAGGACCGCCTGCCCACCAAGCACCACGGGCTGCCCCTGCTGTTCTACTGCCTGCATGAGACGCGGGAAGAGGCGTTCCTAGCCCAGGTGCTGCAGCCCTGCAAGCAGGCCACGCTGATGGTCGCCAAGCACAGGGACCTGCAGGTGTGCGCTTTCTGCCTCCGCTGCTGCCAGCGCCTGCGGGAGATGAAGCTGATCTTGACCCTGACCATCCACAAGGCGATGTGAGTGCTCTGAGCCTGCCCTCGCGCATCTGCTGGATCCCAGGACCCTGCACACCTGGCCTGGGCATCTGGGGTTAGGGTTAGGGTTAGGGGAGACCATGATCTTCCTGCAATGAACTGAGAAATCTTGTAATAGGTCTCTGGGCTTTATTTTTTTTCTAAATTTTTGAAAAATATGTCTTTATTGATTTCAGAGAGTAAGGGAGAGGGAGAGAGAGAGAGAAAGATCAACAATGAGAGAGAGTCATGCATCGGCTCCCTCCTGCACGCCCCACACTGGGGATCGAGCCCGCAACCCAGGCATGTGCCCTGACCGGGAATCGAACCATGACCTCCCGGTTCATAGGTTGATGCTCAACCACTGAACCACGCTGACCAGGCTGGGCTTTTCTCGTTATGGGAGAGTCTTACTAGCCTCATGACGGGGTCTGTGATGGTAACTAGGGTGGGGCCCTCCAGCCTGAGTTGACTGCCCATTTTCTACAGTGTCACCTCTAACCCTGACTCCCTTTCGGACTCTTCCCTCCCACACAGACCAGAAGGCACCAACTGGCGCCTCTGCTGGTGGGAGGAGCTCTGCATGGCGCTGGCTCTGCAGGACTTGGAGGCCCTGTCCCTGACCAACAGCGTCATAGAGCTGGACGCCATGCAGGCCCTCAGCGCGGCCCTGGAGAGCCCTCGCTGCCAACTGCACACCCTAAGGTGAGCCCCACAGGGCCCAATGGTCTCTGCCCACTCATCTCACGGGCACCATGCCCTCTGGGTCCTGTCCCCCTGGGCTGCCTCAAAGGGCACATGATGTGTTTTGTTATAACAGCCGTCATTTCAGAGAGTTACCACTACAATGTTTCCTCGTGCTCAGTGAGTTGGGGTGTCATCCCGTGCACAGAAGGCTGGGGGTTTGACTCCCGGTCTGTCAGGGTGGATGCAGGAGGCAGCCAATCGGTGGTTCTCTCTCACCATTTCTGGTGGGTGGTGAGGAAGCAAAAGCTTCTCTCTCAGCAAATGTCACACATATAATAGTGTGAACTCCCGTCACTGAGCTGGACATTGGATCCCCCCAAGAACTGATCCATCTTACAACTGCAACTTTGTGCCCTTTGACCAACATCTCCCCGCCCCCAAATTCCCGGTAACCACCGTTCTAGTCTCTGGTTCTAAGTTTCATGCAGCTAGAAAATGACAATTCGGTGATACAGTAGGTCCTCGGGTTACATCGGAGATCCGTTCCTACGCGAAACATAATGCGATTTTCGCCGTAAGTCGGAACCCACCTACATGAGCACTTCTGTCATTCACATGGAGCACAGACACAGCAGTAATGAAGTGGAATAAAAAAAAATGAAAGATTAACAACTCCTGACCTTTACTTGTGGTAAATAAATAATAAATACATAAAGCACATATGCCCATACGTCGAAATGATGGAACTTTTTTTTTTATAAATAAATGGGAGATGGAGACGTAACCACAAAACGAGTTACGTTGAGTCCAATGTAACCCGAGGACTGCCTGTAATATCCTAGACGCGTCTGAGATAGGGAAACCAACCCTCTCATTTCCTTTCCGTCTGCCCACCACACTCCTTTGCATCCGTCAGAGCTGAGGAGGACCTAGACCACCTCTGCGTCTGCCTGCCCTTCTTTGTTTTTAATGTTTTTATTGATTTCAGAGAGGGAGGGAGAGGGAGAGAGAGATGGGAACATCAATGTTGAGAGAATCATTTATCGGCTGCCTCCTGCATGCCTCACACTGGGGGGGGAGCCTGCAACCCGGGCATGTGCCCTGACTGGGAATTGAACTGTGACCTCCTGGTTTATAGGTTGACGCTCAACCACTGAGCCACGCGGCTGGCCTGCCTGCCTTACTTTTACAGAACAGGAGGCCCTGAGGTGGTGAACAAAATTCTTTGACTTGAGGTGGAGGCCTGACTTGACAAGGTGGCGGCCTGTGACTTAGAAAGAGTTGCTTCAGGGGATGGAGTCTCCATTCTTCCCCTTGAAGACTGGTGAAGAAATGTAAAAAACAGCTGATGCCCTAGCCGGTTTCTCAGTGGTTAGAGCGTTGGCCTGAGGACTGAAGGGTCCCAGTTTCCATTCTGGTCAAGGTCACATGCCTGAGCTGCAGGCTTGATCCCCCTTGTAGGGTGTGCAGGAGGCAGCCAATCAATGATTCTCTCTCATTATTGATGTTTCTATCTCGCCCTTCCTCTCTGAAATCAATAAGAATATATATTTTTTAAAAATCAATGGTAAAAATCCTTGAGGAAGGATCCTATATAATAAAAGCTAATATGCTAAGTGTCCGGTCGTCCAGTTGGCCGTTCAACCAATCAAAGCATAATATGCTAATGATATGCTAAGGCCACTCAACTGCTCACTATGACATGCACTGACAACTAGGGTGCAGACGCTCTAACGGTAGGTTAGCTTGTTGCTGGGTTCCAGCCAATCAGGCCTGAGCGAGACAGGCTGGACACACCCTGGAGCTCCCCCGCAGTCCCTCCCTGGCTGGCCAACCTCCCACGTCCCTCCTTGGCCCCGATCATGCACTAGTGGGGTCCCTTGGCCTGGCCTGCGCCTTCTCGCAATCCGGGACCCTTCAGGGGATGTCGGAAAGTCAGTTTTGACCGATCCCGCAGGCCAGGCCAAGGGACCCCACTAGTGCACGAATTGGTGCACTGGGTCTCTAGTAAATAAATAACAAAACAAAACAGCTGAATTGCAAGGACTGAATGGAGACCCAGGCTCATCTTCTTCTTTAGAGCCAATGGTTGGACAGCTGGTGTTGGCCCCAAATGCACATCCCTTTCTGCCGATAACTCCTGGCTAGATTTCCAGGCTGGGGAAGATGCAGGTGACCCTGGAGCCGCTCTGCGGTGGGAGATGGATGAGGCTCTGTGGGCGCTGTGTTCCCTGGGGAGCTGAGGCGTGGCGTTTTGTGTGGCTCCCCAGGTTGGAAGGCTGCTCGATCACCCCTGGAAGTATGCTTGAATTTGCCGAAGACCTTTCAAGTAACCTGAAGCTGAAGACGCTGGTGGTACGGAGGATCTACCTGAAGGACGAGGGGGCCTGTTCCCTGTCCAAGGCCCAGCGGGAGAGGCTGGCGTAAGTGCTGTTCTTGTTGCCATGGGACTGTGGCTTGTTTGGTCGCATGAGTGCTTCTGGGACAAAGGCAGTGATAGGGGAATGTGTGTATCATGGGACACACTTAACTCCTTTTTAAAAAATATATATATTTGTATTGATTTCAGAGAGGAAGGGAGAGGGAGAGGGAGATAGAAACATCAATGATGAGAGAGAATCACTGATCGGCTGCCTCCTACATGCCCCACATGGGATCGAGCTCACAACCCGGACATGTGCCCTGACCACAATCAAACTGTGATCTCCTGGTTCATAGGTCGATGCTCAACCACAGAGCCATGCCAGCCAGGCCACATCCTTCCTTACTAATAGTTTTTTTTCACAGTCCTAATATTCATCTCGGTCTCTCTAACACGAATGCCCACTCATGTCTTTAATGTATCTTTCTGCATTTTTTATAAGTCCCATCCCCGTGTGTGTCCCCCATTCCTCCTCTACCTCTATCCTCTGGATCCCACTGATCCCCAGCCCACCACCCCTTCCATCGGTCGTCCCACTTCCAGTCCTCTCTTTTAAACCGTAGGCCCCTCAGAGGTGGTCCCAGATGTAGGAGGAGGCTTTTGTGTTTAAAAGGAAAGAAAGCCCAACTGGAATGTCCATCCCTCACTAGGAGACAAAGAAAACCCAGTCATGGCCCTGGCCGGGTGGCTCAGTTGGTTAGAGCAGTGGTCGGCAAACTCATTAGTCAACAGAGCCAAATATCAACAGTACAATGATTGAAATTTCTTTTGAGAGCCAAATTTTTTAAACTTAAACTATATAGGTAGGTACATTGTTATTAACTTAATTAGGGTACTCCTAAGGCTTAGGAAGAGCCACATCCAAGGGGCCAAAGAGCCACATGTGGCTCGCGAACCACAGTTTGCCACGGGGTTAGAGCATCGTCCAGATAAGCCAAGGTTGCGGGTTCAATCTCCTGTCAGGGCGCATACAAGAATCAACCAATGGATGCATGAATAGGTGGAATAACA